TGTGCATACAGAACTGGGGTGCAGGCCAGAGGCTCAGGGGCGGCGAGAGGCTTCACCAGAGACAGAGTGGGGAACAGAATAGGCAGATGGACGAAGTACACTGCTGAGGGGAGCAGCGGGTGGGTCAGGAGAAGTCTGCCACACCATGTGGTCACCTCCCGGGCAGGCGGGAATCAAACTCATGCAGAAGCGGCCTTAGATTCTCAGTGCTGTGCTTCAACCCACTGCGCCACCAGGGAGGGCCAGTCTGCATACTTTTTTTCTCCAGCACTTGTTTTTGTTTGTTTGTTGTCATTTTTGTAGGGCATTCTCACAGTTGGGCAGTGATAGCTCATGGATTTGAATTGCATTTCCCTGATGATAAGTGACATGGCTCATTTTTTCATGTGTCTGTTGTCCACCTGTTTGTCTTCTATGGAAAAGTGCCTATTTTGCTCTTCTGACCATTTTTTGATTGGGTGGTCTGTTTTCTTTTGTTGATATTCACTCTTCGTGGATCTTCAATATCAATCCCTTATCAGATATAAAGTGTGCAGATATTTTCTCCCATTCTGTAGGCTGTCATTGTTTTGGTCACTGTCTCTTTCACTCCACAGGGCCTTTTAGTCTCATAGAGTCTCAATTGTTTATCTTCTTCTTTGCTTTCCTTGCTGTTGGAAAGAATCTACAAATATGCTTCTGAGATTTATGTCTTGGAGCATTTTGCAATGTTTTCTTCTAAGTATTTTATGGTTACAGGTCTTACATTCAAGTCTTTTATCCATTATGAGTTGACTTTCATAAATGGTGTGAGATAAAGCTCTAGATTCATTCTTTTGCATGTCGTTGTCGAGTTCTCCCAGCACCATTTATTGAAGAGATTTCCCTTGTTACAGCCTATATACTTTACTCCTTTGTTGTATACTAATGGGTCTATATTAATGTGTGTGTGTATATATGTGTGTGTGTGTGTGTGTGTGTGTTTTAATGTATGGACATGTGTGATTTTATTTCCGGGCTCTCAATTATAGTCCATTGGTCAGTGTGTCTCTTTTGATTCAGTATAATGCTGTTTGTATTGTGGCTTTACAGTATAGTTTGAAGTCTTGAAGTGTGGTACCTCCGTTGCCCCCTTTTTGGTCAGGAGAGCTTTGGTTATTCGGAGTTTTCTATGGTTCCATATGAATTTCAGTAATCTTTATTCTACATCTGTGAAAAACACCATTGAATTTTCATTGGGATGGCTGTGAGTCTATAGTAGCTTTGGATGGG